CCAGGGGCACAGAGGCTGAAGCCCTGTTCTGCTGGGAGTAAAGAGGAGCTGAGTCTCTCTCACTCTCACACAATATTGTTCATATTGGCCTGATTCACTCACAATAAGACACAGCGAGCCTCATATCCCTAGAAGAACTGCATTTCAGAAAGTTTTTGCTGGAATGCAACTTCTCTTGGTTGATGATTGAACCACAGGCTGAGTGTTCTTAACCTCTGCTGCTGCCATGATATTACTGCCCAAACCATGAAAAATTGACATTTCTTTAAAAGCCATAGGCTCTTCCTGGTCTTGAGAGGAAAAAAACCCACCCAGAGCTTTAGCCACTGTCAGTTCTGCCCCACCACAGCATGTCTGAGACCAGCAGTCACAGGAAGCTCCCAAATTAAGACTGCACATTGCTCCTGCAGTGCTGTTGCCCCAGCATCTCCTTGGAAGGAACATATTGAAGCCTATAGTAGCTGTTCTCACTCCTGGATCTACAACCAGCTTGTTTGTTAACTTCTTTGTTCAAAAATCTTGTCATCAGGCTTACCCAGACAGGAATTATTTCTTTTCCTCTGCCATTGTTAATGGATAACTCTGTCATGGTTGTTAAAATGGCATACGTGGGATGAGTCAGCACGTGAAGGTAACACACATAGAGGACCTGGAATTTCTTCCTTATTCCTTCTGCCTATCTTCTGAAGGGCCTGGTTTTGGTTAGCCAAATGTCAGGTGGTGCTTCAGAGAAACAACCAGGTGGGCTGAGGCACAAGTTGTCCCAGGAAGACAGGGGTTCATTGCTCCACTTGCTGCTGGGGGGGAAGGCTCAGAGCTGGGAGGCAGTTCAGGCAGCAACACAAATATGTTAGGAGAAAGTTGCCAAGGGGAGAAATTGAGTCTCATTGAGCACATGGTGCCTCACTGTCCATTTCAATTCTAAATTCTGCTTTAAAATGTAACTTACTGTTAGACCTCTGAAACACAATGAATTTTGTAAGTCAGACTCACTCCTAGAGCTGCTTTGTGACAGTGTCCAAGCAAGGATTTTTAATCAAGTGGAGGCTGAGCACACATGTAGGGAACATGTTCAACAGACATGCTGTAATGATCTCAGAATGATAAACTTTAACACAGTTTAGTTCTGCATACTAATGAATAGATGCCTGTATAGACCTCTGGACAATCCAGTTTAAAAGAAATTGAAAAAAGTCAATTCATCTCCCTGCAGAGTTTCGTTATCCAATTACACAAAGCATTAAGCATATCATTGTAATTAAAACATTTTTGTCATTTCTCTCATACAGATTTTTTCCCCCTAAGTTTAACCCTAAATCTTTTTGCTTTATGGTAATTCTCCTGGGAATAATTACTGAATTTCCACAGCAGTAATTTGGGTAGCATAAGAACATGTAACCTCAGCCTTGCTCCCTCCATCATAATGAAGATCTTGCCTAGAAACATACTTCTCCCCCTTCACATTATTTAATACATGACACATGATCAATAACGTGAAACTGCAGAAAACTTTCTCATATGATAATTCTATTGATTTTTAAGAGAAATAATTAAGCTAACTGTTAAGACCGAGTTCATCAATACAATCTGACTCCTTTGTTCCTCCCTACTGAGTAGGACAAATCAATCAGGGTTATGAAACAGCATAACCAGTTTTCTGGAGCTATTGCACCACTCTGACAACAGACTGAATAGCCATTTTATGCCCTGCTGTTCTCTCCTTGCTCTCACATCCCCCTGCACACATCTCCACAGCTCCAAACCACAACCTTCTCCTGATTCTTCTCTTATTGCATTGTACATTCCTGAAAATCTCCATCTCCATTCTCTTCTCTGTGATCCCTCAATTTGCTTCTTCCTCCACCATCAGGTTCCTTTGCAAAATAAGGAATGCAATTTTAGGAAAGACATATTGTATTTTCCCATATCTAAAGGAGGTGGAATGCCAAATTGTGTTAAATGCCAAATTTCTTTCCACTTTGATGACAGAAGCATGTCTGCAAATTGGTAACTCTGCTCAGACTGTACTTTAACATCAGGACTTTACTAATTCTCTGCAAGCCAAAACAGTCCCCTGCTAGAAAGTGAAATTGGAAAGCTTCTTCTGGAAGAAAAGCAACTTCTCCACAGGGATGGCTGGCTCTCATTTGCTCTCATACTCTGATGCCCCTATGACCTGTGCCATAGTTGAAATAAAATCTCTCCCCATGTGAACCTGCACATTTGTCACTCCCAGTGATCCCACCAATGCTCTCATCAAGCAGGTGGTGAGTGACCCGTGCTGCCACGGAGCTGCTCCTGCACCCAAGTGGTTGGAGTGAGGAATCTCTTCTGTGGCATCAGGCAGTTAAGTCAGGCACAATGTAATCACTGACAAAGGTACACCACGAGTAAGCAGTGTGTGCAACCAGAGAAGAGGTTCTTTAGAGCTTCTCGATGAAGGTCCTGTAAAATATTCAAGGATTTGGTTGTTTACAAGTGACACTACAGCATGTGTATAGGTCCCAGATTGTTCACCTCTGCAATAAGTGAGAAAAAGCCCAAAACAGCAGGTTGATGGGACTCAAGATTTAATACATTCTGCAAAATGCACTCTTTACATGGAACAACAGATTCCAAACATTAGCACTGGTTTATGCTGAAGAAATGGCTGAACATGGTGGAAGAATTACAGAATATGGGGAAGAAGGAAGAATTACAGAATATGCACAGCCCAAATCAGACACAGGTGGCACAGTGAGGCACAGCAGCCCTAGCAGATCCATTACTCCCCACTCAGCAGAGTCACAAACAATTCTGTACTGGCAGAAACATTCATCCACAACATTCCTGAGACCGACTAGTGTTCACAAGTTGCAGGATTTTCCTCAGAGGAGTAGGAACTAGTGTGTGCCTACACTTGACAATGTTATTTCAATTCCAAGACAGGTCACAGATAATTTATAAATCTCCCTGAAAAATAATGCTCTTTCTGGAGGTTTTTGTACCTATTCAATAGACATGCAACTCGATGGCCCAAGAAATTACTTTCTATAAACTGCTTTATTTTAAAAATAACTTTTGTATATATGTATTTCAAAGGCTTATTTACAGTACATACAGTTATTAACTCTGTTAGGTGCATGGGCAGATGTGCAGATCAGCACATGTAGCTCTCAGATTAATGTCATTTTAAGCTGCTTACATAGTTCCAAAATCCCCAAGATTTGGCCCAGTTGATATGGCTCTAACAGGTGCATTTGGAACAACAAATGTGTTACGGATCAGAACAACATCAGAAGTCTTCATCAGGTCTGTGTCCACACTTAGCAAGACTTCCTTCTAACAATTTACACTGTGCCTGTCACTGCAACACGAGTATTTAACAAGTGCTGCCATCAAGGATTAGAAGATTCTCTTAAATAGGTGAAACTTGATACACTAAACACCGTAAAAGCATTTCTTTTTGTCGTGTTTAAAAAATAAAATTATGGCATGTCTTGGCTTGCCTTTCAGGTGCCTAAAATCCAACCCCAGTGTGTGCACCCAGCTCCTACTAAATGCAATGAGATATGCAAGACACTGTCCATCTGGCCTTCACTAAGTGAAATGAAACACAGAAAAGAGCATAAAAAAAAAAAGAGGAAAAATAAAAGTGCAGATTTTGCTAGGGATTACATAGCAACAGAGCCAGAGGTTGAACTGCAGAACCCTGCCCACCTTCCCCACATGCTTAAGACTACATTCACTGTGGGGAATTAGGGCAAACTGGGGAAGAGGCAGTGACGTTGATAAGAAAGCAAAATGGATTAGGAAGCAGTGACATTATGGTGGGCCAAAAATGGACAATCCAGGAAGAGAAGAAAAAAAGAAAAAAAATTTTGAATAACAGATGAAAACCACTGAGAGCTACCATCAGAAAGGAAGTTGAGGTGATGAAACAGCAAGCGTAAGTAACAGGAGATGCACTGATGAGAGGCATTTTTCAGACATGCTAAATAGCTGATTGTGAAAATGTTTTTCAGCAAATACACAGATGCCTTGTTTGTCTCCAGTAGGTGTACTTATCCTGTGGCATACAATGGCCTGGCTGGCAGGCTGATGTTGAGGGAAGACAAATCTTCTCTTTACTCGTCATCCAGCCTAGCCCCTAATCACCTTTGCAGCTGCCTCAAAAATATTATCACGGAGCATTCATCGCTGACAGCACATGGCAAAACCCAAAAGGCAACTGTGATCGTGCCCTCAGAGTTCTGAGAAGAAGTATGACGTTAAATTCTGTATGAAAGCCATGGAAAGACTTAACACCATAGGGCAGACTCCTCACACACACTGCTGAAGCTGCTGGCACTTAGAGCACACAGTGAGCATAAAGCAGAAAGGTGCTGTGACTGTCCCAGAATTGGACACCTCACACCTAGGTGACAACCAGTGTCTCACCAGTGAAGTCCAGCACAGTCAACATGGCCTTGCTTCTTAGGGTAGAGAGGGACTCAGAATAGGAGAGAGGAATGGACCTCTGGGACAAAAACAAGGGAATGTGGAAGACAGCAAGAATGGGTATGTCCATCCTCCTGAGCCCTATTTGTCCTTTTGTGAAATTACCAAACACTCCAATAAGTTGAAAGACCAGATAAGCTGTTTTTCCCTTCTGGGGCCTGTTTTGCATATGCCTGAAAAAGGTCCAAACACATCCTTATCCTGCAAAATACCAAAAGCATTCTCTGCAGGCTTCAGTTAACACCACCTCTCCACAAAACCCATCTTCTGGATTACCAAACCTCCTCCTTACACAGCTCTATAAAAATCAAAGCTGTCCGACACACTTTATTACCCCAAACCAGCATTTATCAAAGCTTCATTTTTGAAATCTGACCATTGTGAAACTACTGCTAAAGGGGAAAAAACAGGGTCTTGGTCTTGGCAGTTGTACCTATGCATCTGGAGAAAGACCAGGCAGAACTCCTGCTGCTGGCACTAACAAAATTCCACCCTCCAAGGGCACCAGAACACATGGATTCACATGGCAGAGGGATGAATCCACCCCCATGTCCTACCACAGCTCAATATCGGCACAAATCAGAAGAAAAAAGCACACAGAAAAGGTTGCTTTGCTTTTTCACCCCTTGGTACCCAAGCCTTTTGCATTCCACTGCCGAGCCCCAGTCTTGGAAACAGCCATCAACTGTCCACAGCCTTCATCACTTGACAACTAGAGCCAGCTACAGGGATCTGCATCCCTGGAGGGCTGTGCCTCCCAAGGAGGATGAGAGAGGCAGAGAAGGGGCATCATGAGCTGCGGCCACAGATCTGCTCAATGTGGTAGATCTCCTTAGGACAGTTATCAGACAAGATGAGAGGAGCATCCTCTGTTATCACAACATCATCCTCAATGCGCACACCAATGCCACGAAACCTCTCTGGAGCACTCATGTCATCCTCAGGGATATAAATGCCTGAAAGAAAAAAGGGAATTAAACCACACAATGCTCTCCAGAATAACACCTTTCCCTTACTGCACCACCACGACAGCAGGTTGTCTTTTCAGCAACATGAGTTTGATCCCAAAAATCTTCAGTTAGGCAAGTTACTCTCTTTCCCCTCACTCATGGCTCTTGGTGGGCAGGGAAAGGGAAGTGTCCCTCTGTGTCTGCAGACACTATCACTTTAATAAAAACTTCCACAACTACCCCTGGCCTTTCCACACTTCTTGCTTTCAATGCTACGTTCACAATGATGATTTTACCAATGTTCTATATATAGAGGGAGAAGAGCCAAGAATTAAATATCAGCTTCCAGCTGACAGCTCCAAATCCAGTGACAAGCAGAAAGATTCGTCGCAGTAAGCCTAATTTGCAAAGCTAAGTAGCGAGTGCCTGTAACTGGAGACTGCAGTGCTTGAGACTTATACCACCAGTGACTGGTAGTTCAGTTGCAGGAACACAGCACACAGCACAAGTGAATCAACACTGCTTTTGTGCACTGCCATTGACCTATGCTGCAGTCTGAGGTCTATACTACTCTGCTTCCTGAGTTTGCTCTCATAATGTGTTACCTGGGCTCTGTTTGGGAAGGAAATAGGGTTTTCTGAAAGTGTAATGACTTTGGGAGGGGAATAACTTAAGGCTTTCCAATACTGTAATAATTTGCAGTTTCACCAGAAAGCACTGAATGCTTTGGTTTGAGTGACCAACTAATCGAAAAGCAATACTGTTATTTGTCCACCAACTGCATGTCTTTTTACCTGGTTCAATGGTAATCACCATGCCTGGCTGGAACAGGAGCGATCGGGATATATCTGGGGTATCATGAACGTCCATGCCCAAGTAATGGCCCACGTGATGTGGGCAGTACTTTCGAACAGCCTGGCAGAACACAGAACAAAGTGTCACAGAGGCACTTAAACACAGCCCAAACTCTTGTTCCAATACAAAAGATGTGGAACAGAGAGAGAATAGTTATGTGCTTAATTAGCAGTCTTACTGCCATGAACAGGACACCAGAGGCTGCCTTGCATTTACCAGAACTGGATGGCACTCAAAACCCACCAGTACCAGGTTCCTGTTATGTCATAGAATAATTTAGGTCACAGAATCAACCGGGTTGGAAAAGACCTCCAAGATCATGAAGCCCAACCCTACTGCGGTTACTAGACCACGGCACTAAGTGCCACATCCAGTCTCAGCTTGAAAACCTCCAGGGATGGTGAATCCACCACCTCCCTGGGCAGCACATTCCAATGCCTGATTACTCCCTCAGTAAAAAAGTCTTCCTAATATCTAACCTAAATCACCCCTGGCAGAGCTTGAGTCTGTGCCCTCTTGTCCTGCTGCTGGTTGCCTGGGAGAAGAGACCAACCCCCACCTGACTCCAACCTCCTGTCAGGGAGTTGTAGAGGGTGATAAGGTCTCCCTTGAGCCTCCTCTTCTCCAGGAAGAATGTGCTTATGAGCACATTGCAGACTGCCTTTCCCCCTCCCTGAAAAGAACAGCCCAAGCCCATCACCATCTCAGCCTGCCAGGCAAGACATCAGTTTTCAGCTCACTGAGCT